GGGCAAAATATATACGGAATAACTGCCAACAAACTCGCCATAACTTACAATCTCGAATGTTACATCGAGTCGCACGTTGTATCCGATTGCGCACGTACTGATTTCATACCTTCCCTTCAACAAAACATTTGACCCCTTTCACCCGACGAACCACCATTGTACACGCATAAACAGTAATACCCCTTGCAGCATTATCGTTGCAAGCGCTTTCGTAGCTAACGTAGCGAGGTATGAGGTGCGCTTTCATTCACGCGCGACCGTAGAACCAATTTCGGTTGCTCATTGTCTGCTACAATGCGGCATTAAGATAACGAAATAGTAAATAGTTTTTTTAGGATTTAAGAAATTTACAAATAAGGAATTTCGGAAAGAAGTATTGTCTTGAAATCAAAATTATCTATACTCATTTTTAACAGTCTAAATACGTTACATGTAAGATAAGTAAAAGCGTATTTAAATATAGATTTGAATAAACAAGCAATAAAAGGGGCTTTATCTTACTTTGTCTAATTGACAATTATATATTAACACGATATCTATTTAATTACTATAAGTATGTTATTTATAGCGAACTGTACTAATGCTACTAATTAATATCACTTTGTAAAAAAAATTACAATTTTATCTAAATTCTTTTCCCTGCTCGTTATTTCTTGAGATATTACTTCGAATTTGTAATTAAATTTATAGCTCTACCATCTATTAATCTACACCATTCTCATCACACTTTACTAAGCGCGAATTATTTCGCGTGTGCGCAAATTTCAAACGTGTCCCGCCATAAAATAATCCTCTCGCTCGGCACTCTCGTCGAAAATTTATCTGCTAAAATTAGTGCGGTTAAAACGCGTAGCGCCGGTGTAACGATTACAGGAGCGATTACGCGGATCTGGCTATGCAATTGGTTCCACTCATTTCCAACGAGATGACGGTACCCGATTTGAGTTTACCGTGCACACGTAACGGAAGATAAATACGGCAGTATAACTTCGCCCTACAAGCCAATTTGGCAACGAAATGTCATTAGGGAGCGACGTATGTAACTGTGTTAATTGTAATGCTGGTGTGAAAGCAGATGGTGATTCGTTAGCTCGCCCTGTACGTGTACGCAAACGTAAGACATCGATCGTCACAAATCTCTGTATATTCGCGCATATGAAAGATCAATGTATAGTGAAATTGAATTTCTAATTGAATTCTCGTATTGCAGTTGATCCCATTAATATTTTTTTGAACAATTATAAACTAGAAAATTTATAGAGCTACTTTTTTTAATTACTAGCTAATATTTGACATTCAAAATGAATACGTCTATCTATTATGTATATAGATATAAATTGTAATAATGTGTTGAAATAAAAAATTAACTTTTTATAATCGATAAGTATTAAATAAAATTATAAATTGTTAAATTGTTAAAGAAATATTTAGATTTCTTCTGCATTTAATGGCTTGAATGGCGATAAAATACTCGCAATTTTGAACTATTTCGATCCTACTGCAATATATTTTTATATTTGCATAATTTGTAATAAAAATGAATGAAAGGATTAATTTTCTATCTCAATGAAAATGACATTGAAAAGGATGTTGCCATACGTCTTCTGTAGTCTTCACGTATCTTATTACATTTTACGGAGGAATTTAATAAGGTAAGCGCACATTTGACTCATCTCTCATTCATGTAAGACAAAGCACGATATTAATATTAATGCGCGGCTCGCGAACAGTTTAAATCGTGCAGATAACTCCAAGGAACTGCTGACAGAGCTAAGATCATAAAAGCGTACCACACAATAATGCATTTATTTCAACACGATTTAAATCGAATAAAATTATGATAATATTTGTATTATCCATGCTGACATGGCTTCATAAATATCCACTCAAGACAAACTATTCAAAATATCATTTTCGAAGTAGTAAAAAAATTGTACTTATTCGCGTAAAGATTTTATTCTCAAGAATTTTCTTAACTTTTAGAACTTATGTTCTTTTTCAATATCAATAATGCCTCAATTGATTACTCCATAATCATCTTGCATGCGCAAGTAGCAATTTAGATACTTGATGTAATTTAAGCCAAATGCATTCGCATGATCTGCCATTACGGCATCTCGATGCACAATGGTATCCTAAACTTAATCTTAATTAATCGCAGGTATTACGGTATACGTGAGATTAGGACTTGGGACTGTTGCGCAGTTTATCAATAGAATGTGCCATTCCAAACCGTTTGTTTCCGAGACAGAACTTCGGGTTCGCTTCCGGTCTTTCCACGGCGACTCCGGAGCACTTTGCTAGATTAGAATAAACCGATGCCATCGACGTCTTTATTCGCAGTCACCTAAAACTGTCGACCCTCTTTCGCGCCAAGATATATCTTTATGACCGCGGTGTTAGAGACTTATTCTATAGTAAATGGCATTGGTTGAACTTTGATCATGATATATGGCGAATGTTGCACCGCGCGTTGATATATCACCGAGCAATTTATTCGTAGTGCTGCAATAATATTGATATTAAAATTTAAAAGTATTAATACCGTGATACTTATTATTATTATTAGTAAACTCTAGCATTTTTACTATTGTTTAGAATTTAAAATTGCAAAAATAAAATAGAAATTGTATACATCAAATATTTTCACTTTTATATCATTCACATTTTTCCGTTTCCTGTATAAAGCACTTAGAGAAGATAAAACATTCAAAAAACTTGAAAAACGAGCAAAGCGCTGACGCAATCATCCCAAATATTTGTGTGTACCCGTGTATATCTCGCGTGCGTTTCTGTATCTATATTGCTTATGGATTAGGTGAAATATATGGCGGCGAAACAGACGTTATTGCCAGCGCGTAGGATAGCGTGATAGTTCTCATGGGCAAATTGCTCAGATGCTCAGAGTTCCGGTGGAAGGCGGGCCGATATGTGGAATTTGGTTACAGTGCCTTAATAGCGCGGTAGAGTACCCCGGGAGTATTCTAATATGCACATATAAGTGGTTAACACATTGCCGAATCGCACGCTGAATCTGATTCACGAAGATCCGCACGAATCGACTCACAGCAATTCATTGCCTCGGCGTTTTCTCGCACTCTCGTATAATGGAGATTCCAACCCCGAGATATTTCCCGCCGACAAGATTTACTTCGTCCGCATTGCCATGCTATAAAAAACGCTACGGAAAAGGCGCCCGGAAGATTAATTTGCTTTTCCGGTGCGTATACGCGCCGCGAATGGAAATGTCATAAAAGTAACGGCAAAAAATGTGCCGGATAATGTTTCGCAATGTTACGTCGCGAAATTGAGTGCAATGCTTCCTTATTTCATTAAAAGCTGATTCAACAGTTAATTGAAATTTATTTGTAACTCAGATTCACTTATAAAATATTAACAAATATTCATTTCAAAATATATTATGCAATTAATATAAAGATTTAATTTAAAAATTTGAAAATTTAAATAGTAACATTATATTTGTAAAGCTTTTTTTAAAATATAAATATTTGACAAAAGCTATTACATATTAAATAAGAGTAGTGATTATTAATAACAAAATTTATGAAAAAACCATTTAATTTAAACAAATATATAATATTACTATTTAATTTTCAAATTCTTATTATTAAATTAAATTAAATTTGTGTAATTAAATTTGCTAATATCATATAAACAAATCTTAATTGCAAATAAATATTAATTAACTGTCGAATCAACTGCCATTTTCTTTAATTATTGAAAATATTTAAAAAAAACATATTTATTTTAAAAAAATTATTTTTGCAAAATTTATGATGTAAAATTAATGCTGTGTTTTATTTGTATCATTAAATGCCAAAATAAATCAAATATTTAAACTAAGAGAGAGATTGTAGATAATTGTTATCAGCAAGAAAGTTTTATAAGTAAAACTGTATATATTACTTAAAATTATTTAATCTTATAGCGTTTTCGAGTGAACAAATTTTGATCCATTTCGGATCAGTTAATCACTATTTTATTATAAGTTTACTCAAAAATGCTATTAAATTTATTGTACTTGAAACTAAATATTAAATTTTAAAAAAGCAACACATTTTACTAGTATTTTAGGTAATAAAATGCATATGTAAAATCGCCAAAAATTAAAATTTTTGCTCTTATTTGCTTAATAATAGCAGAACAATGCACGTAATCGCAATGCGAAAACGAAAACTACGCTTTTAAGTAAGCGCACCCATTAACGAGCTCGTTAACGCGACGGAGGAACCTAAACAAAGAGATAGAATAAGCAGTTCAGAGCATTAATAACGATACGCCGAATGAAAAAACAAAAACTTACAAGGTAACCAACCACTACTATTCCGTGGTAACAGAGCATCTTGCGATAAACGATATAAAGTTACAATAAACTTATTAATCAAATTAATGTACTTTGAAATAGAACGCTTTTGATCTATCATGCTTTTTCCATTTTTATGAATATACCAATCAAAAATCTATTTCTATTAGTAGAAATGTGAACAATGCAATTTTTATTCCAATTGTAAATAATTGAAAATAAAAATTTCCCAATCTAACAATAACCGTAAAAAGTGTAACAAAATCTTATTGTTCATTTACATTCAAATGGACTTTGCAAAATCATGAGATTTAATAAATATAAATATTATAAATCTTTAGAGAAATTAAAATTTGTATATGCTCATGCTTTTATAGACAATTTTTATAAGATAACGCATTTAATAATAATATACTAAAATATATGTACGTCTTAATTTTAAGAATCACTTATATTTAATCAGTATTTGATTTACACCATATTAATTTAATTCACACGATTAAATTCTAATTAAAAAAAGTATTTAGAAAAATTATTCTATATATCAATACATACATAATTAAAAGCTATTAAAAATTTGCTATTAAAAATTCTCAATTGCGATCGGAATCGTAAGAATCAAAAATATGATGTCATGTTATTAAATCAAATGCAGTAAGTGAATTTATTTACTCACCGGTTGATGTATCGCCGATGCACCATCGCCGACCGATCCAAGCTCCATTGCATCCATGCCGTCAAGTTTCTCTTGATGCACTCACTCACTCACACAAATATATTTCCAATACTACGAATCAAAAATACACGGCTAATTATAGTTCGGGAGACGATTGTTCGTCATTTCGTATGAGCACATCTGTTTGTCACACTCACGACGCGACACGTTTAGAACGTACGAGAAATGTAGCAACTGCCCAAGTCACAAAATTTCTGATATCCCGTGCGCGGTGTACAACAACAAATACGAAACATAGCCGAATCTTCTCGGCAAAACACTGGAACTGTAACTCAAGGTGATCGTGCTAGTCTAAACAGCCAGTGACTTCTATAAACATAGCCGAGTATTTCAACGAAAGTATGCTAACATAATTTACGTGATTGCACTTTACTATATTTACGACGCGAAATATTTCCTTTGATTGTGTATTTGTATACCGAGAAGAATTATTATCATATACCTCAATTAATCCAAAAACTCGCTTCCGTTGCTCTATTATTTGCCGCACATGAAGTATATTCCCAACACTCGTCACGTGCGAAATTCAACAAGAAATGCGAGAAGCAGTCTCGTCGAGATTTTCCGAACTGACGCGGAGCAATCCTAATTAACAAAAGACACAACATAACTTAGTGAGAATAAAAAATATTTTCTTCCGCGCGTGCCAGGTATCCCGGTGAAAGTATGTCAGTAATACCACATTTAAAACTTTCTAAAACTCTAATTCAAACGCGACGGATAAAAAGCTCGATTCGATGCGACAGTAACTTCACTGTGCATGCAATGAGACAACAAAAAATGCGTTGATGTTTCTCACCAGATATATGTAGCAATACAACAATTTCTTTTTTATCGCGAATTAGAACATCGAGAAGAAACAGCTGTCAATGTAACATCTTGTTTAACTTGAAAAGCTACTCGATTTTCAAAAACATTTGTTGAACATAATTTAATATGTCCGTTTTCGATATCCGTAAAAGTTTCGACGACACTACGATGTATTCGCCTCGCGATTTTACGAACTAACCTGAGCGCTACGATCGCGCTACGATCACGAAACACATAACTCATTATCAACCAAAACAGAAAAACTGTCCTCTTTAAGGCCGGAGCACAGACTTTTACATAAGGCCTGATACATAGGGATACAAGGGAATCAACCAATCAGAGTTCTATATTTCCATCCCCACTTCTCATTTTGCGAATCTCTGACTAGGTTGATTCTCTTGTTATGCCTTATGCCTAATGTAAGTCTGTGCTCCGGCCTTTACCCACAGCAAAACTAAACATCTAATAAAAATATACAAATAATTCCACGTTCATCATTTCTACTCCAATCTCAGGTGTCAACAATTAACAAAAAATATCACGCGGCAGCAAATCTATCAAATTTTAACAAAAACTGTGCAGTTTTCTCTCACCGAGATTCTCTAAATATAAGTTTGCGTCCTTGCCATGTAAAAAACCGTTACGTTAGTCAAAACAGAAAAGATTACCCCTTTCCCTTTCTCCAACATAATTAAATATCTCTATGAAAATATGCAAATAATTCAACTTCCATCATTTCTAATTTAAATAAAAAATTAATATAAAAAATTTAGTTTGCACGACAATAACTCTATTAACATATGTTAATATATATTAACATATGTGATTTGAGAATAATAAATGCGGCAATATCTCGCGTCGAGTGGTATATAATCACAAGAAAATAGTCTTTCCGATTACGAATTCACATACCGAAAACAAATAGCTACTCACTGCCGCATACCTTGATTGATCCGAAAATCTGCTCGGCATTATCGAAGCCCAAAGAATTATCGTACGATTCAACATCCGTTCTTCAACGTCCGTTCGTGACCAAGTTTCGACGAGAACTGTGCAGCGAAATTCTCATCGAGATTCTCTGAATATAGGTTGGTAGAAAAGCTATGCCTACGTTAGTCAAAACAAAACAGAAAATTTCTTCTCTCTCTCTCTCTTCTTTCTTTCTCTCTCTCTCTCTCTCTCTCTCTCACAACAAAACTAAATATCTCAATAGAAATACGTAAATAATTTCACACTTTCATTATTTTTTATTTCAATCAAAAATCAATACGAAAAATTCTATTTATACGACAATAACTCTACTGTATATTAATACGAAAATAAGAAATACAACAATATCTTGCGTGAGTATATAACCAAAGAAAAATATTCTTTTGGATTCTCTTTTTCGTTCACGAATTTGTATACCGAGAGAAAAAACAAATAATCGCTATCAAGTACCTTGGTTAATTCGAAAATCCGCTTGGTATTACTTGAACACTTGTCGCATAATTTAACAATCTCAATATCCGTTTACAGCAAGTTTCAATGGGAATTGCAAAGTGGTCTCACTGAGGTTGTCAGAAAGCGATCTGATTAAAACACAAGATGATCTTGCTAGTCAAAACAAAGACTATTTAATAAATGAATAAAAATAAAATAAAAATAATAATCTTACTTTTTTCCAATTAAAAATAGAAAAGATACAAATATACTAACAAACTTCTCAAAATCCACTAAGTAGAAAATTTATAATTTTTTAAATATTAACTTATAATTTTGTTTTAATTTTTCCTCTAATAATTTGTAATGTAAATGATTTATCACTATATACATTGATACTTGATGCAATTAACAGATCAAATTATTATTGTGAATTTGAAATTATTATAAAATATGCAATTAGCCATCTTCATTACAATATTAAATGCAGGATAATATTAATTTTATCTTAATTCCCATTGGTAATAAATAATATTTTCAATATTTCGATATAGTTTAATGCAAGAACATTGAATATTACTTTTAGATCAAAATAAAATATGCTACACAATAAGTATAATTCTTTATAGAAGATTTATACACCTGCTCTCACATTTTAACAGAAAAACATTTTTTTATTTTCCTATAAATCATAAATGCTCTAATTCATAATTTAATTTTTTTATTATAATCTCAAAATAAAAAAGAGTAATTCTGTTATTACATATCTTGATTAATGCAAACCATCAAGTTGGTACGATTAAGTACAGTATATTAATGTATATTAGAATGAAATAATAAATTGATAATAAGATCAATTTTATAATGTCCACAATATAATTTAGCATAAAAATAAGAAAATTAAAGCGATTATTAAAATAAGACTCAAATATATATAAACACAACATTTATTGTTTTGAAGTCGCTAAGAGTTGCCTACTGTGTTTGTTTTGATTTACGCAGTCTCACCATACGCATTCATTATTACACGTCCTACCGTGATACCGAACGGACGCTTCGTGAAATCGCTCCGCGTCTTTTTACGAAAAAAATTTTGCTTATAAAAAGATATCGAGAATCTCGCGAATTGTACGAACGATTACGATTAACAGAAAATTTCTTCGGATGTTTATAAATCGGGGATAGCTTCCAAGTAAGTATGTGTTTGAATGTAACCGTCTGATTTTTGTACGATAACCGGCCAATAGATAGTTGTATTGAAAGTTGGCTACATTGAATAATAAAGTTCAAGCACAGAAAATAAGTGCAAATAACTTTGTCTCGCGTCGCAGGAGATCGTTAAGAGTTCGTGCATCGATATTAAAGGCTGTTTTAATATTCACTGTCAGTATTGACAATCCACAGTTCATGTTACGTCCGCTATAGGTTTTCAGCACTGTCAGTGCATTTTGAAACACAGCCGAAAGTGTTCACCGCGTTTTAATTTGTCTCATTTCAAACGTATCATGCGCTCAAGAAACATCAAAAGCGTTGAGTGAGACAGTGCAATCACCGTGTTTCGCGTGTTTATTTATCCGTCTAAAATACATCGTACGTGCAAAACATCGAGAGTGTCCTTCGAAATGACAACAATTGTCGTATCGTATATGTTAGCACGCGTGATCGTGATAGCTTTTTTCGATTCGTATTTGCTTTAGTGTCGGGAGTGTTCTACAAAATGACGAACAATCATCGCGTTAATTAACGTCCACAAACGTGATTTACCACGTTTTTCGGTATATCTGTGTGAGTGAATTCGCAACATGGACCACACAACAAGAAGGAAGCGAAGCAGCGCAGCAAGGAATCAAGGAAGCAAAGGAGCAGTACAACAAGGAATCGAGAAAACAAGGGAAGTGGAGTAAGGGAGGAAGGAAGCGATGTAGCAGCTCGGCGAAACGGCGGCGATGGTGCATCGGCTGGTAAGTGAAATTAGTTATACATATATTAGCATGATTAATCGTTATTAATTTCTGACAACTTGTCGCGTCATATGAATCGCGCGTTTATACATATATTGCTGTAATTTCAAAATTAAGAGAATAAAAATTAAATAATTGAAACAATAAAATTAAGTGAAAGTAACTGAAAAAAAACAAATAAATGAAAATAGTTTTCTCTTTTATTGTGTGTTTAGAATAATTAAGTTTATTTTATTATCGAAATAATGATAAAAATTCTATTTTTAATTAAAACAAATTGATTGTATAAATTACAGTAATTAGTGATTTTATTGAATTATTTCTTAAAGATAAAATTAAATAGCTTATTCATTCTCTCAATGATAAAATAAAATAAATTATTTTAATTATAACGATAAAAGATGAAAAAACTTGAAGTTTTACAAATTGGTACAAATCGACCGATCGTACAATGAGTAAAAATATTTTTAGAAGTTCTCGTTATGCTGACGAATAAAAATTTCAGCCATCTGCTACTCTGATTCTTTTTCTTTTTTTTATAGATATCTCTTTGTAAGTTGGAACTCGATGTGATTTAATTGATCGTATTTGACGGATTCTGGCGCACGTGTTTACGGCGGGAGCTCATCGATCGCGTTAATTTTGCGCGCCGTCAATTTTGCGAAATATTATCACTATCGTCAGAGAAACTGTACGTGTTTCAGAATGTAGTATCGATCCCAATATCTCCGTGCGTACTACATTCGTTGAGACGCGACGATGAAATGTGCATCATGTTATTGAGCCACAGCAATAGAATGAAGTTGAAGCTCTCTGAAATGTATCAAGTAGCACAGAAATACATTCATGCTTTTGAGAAATATTAAAAGTGGTAGTTAAAACTCGCGCAATGTGAAATATCGATGTCGTAACCGTAATGAAATGTCTATCGTTATACGACAAGGTTTTATAAAATTCCAACTGCACCGCTTAAAATATTCGTTAATTAAAAATTAAATTACTTATTAAAATCGTTCGGCATTACATTGTAATATGTCAAATCTAAAAAATGTAGATATTATTTTAACTTTGTTTTAGTATATTTAATTTTTTTATCAAGTTTGTATGATATATAGCCTAGTTTACAAAAAATACTATAAAAAAGTTGAAATTTAATAATTCTTTTATAACAATAATTTGATTTTTTTATAATAAAAATTTTATTAGTTTTTATGAAAAACATTTTCAAAATTTATTATCTTAAAATTGTTATTTTGACGTTGTTTGCTTTCTATTTTTACTGAAGAAATTTCATCTGTAATAAACATGTTTTTTTTTTTTTTTCAAATTAAATAATAGTGTTTTTCAGTATAAAATAAAAGTTTGAAACTATCAAAATACAAGTAAAAATACACAATAATCCAAGGTTACTGTATTCATTTTTGTATGCAATATTCTGCCAATTTAGAAATAGATTTTCGTAACAAAAAATGTTCGATAGTTTTTAATTCATTCAGTGCAACAGCGTATATGTATATACAAAAATAATTTTTATTTTCATTCATGACAATAAAATATTTAGCCACGTTTTCTTTTGTATTCAAAGTATTGGAAATTAAATTCACTAAAGTTAGGTAGCCTAACATGTTTTATATAGAGAACATATTTTACCTTTTACACAAACAGCCTGAAAAATTTTATATTATCGTAAAGGTTGATACAATGGCCCTTACTTACTACATAAATATACGTGCCGTATATTCCACCGCTATTATATCAATTTTGTAAATGTGATTTTACGATATGAGCCGAACCTTCTGTTTAAAAGTAACGCGAAAAGAATAAGGTAGGAAAGCTTTATGACTTACACTCACGTTGGTCTCGCCCTCCGTCATGGTCCTCGAGTTTTCGTCGCGAATGGCCGTCTGCACTCACGGGATAAAATCACTTTTCTCTCTTCTCACCTGCGCCACTTTTTTTCTCTCTCTTTCTCTCTCTCTCTTTCTCTCTCTCTCTTTCCCTTTCTCTCCCTTTCTCCAATCCCAATTCTCACTACCGGCCGATTTTCCGTCGGTCGGCGCAGATTCAATGGATCCAGTCCATTAATCACTGCTTAGCGGCCGACACAGGGTGAAACCTGTATTTAATTTTTCACGCAATGTCGCTTTGTATTCAAATGGAAACCGGATACGGAAGTCTGACCCGGCTAGGGCCGCAGGAGTAAAGGAGAATAAAGAGAGATAGAATAGAAGACGATCAGCAAGGGCTAACCGGGTTAGAATATTATTTCGCTTACGATCGTGGGCACGATATCAAAGATGAAATATATATATATATATATATCAGGCAAGAATGAGAAATCTATCTGCTTAGTGAGAAAAGTGATATCTACTATTTCTCTTTTCACCACTTACGGTCTTCATTAAATATTAAATTAAAATAAAGGGATATCGGATTTATCGACTTTTCTGGGAAAATCTGTATGTTTCACACTTTTTAACAAACATAAATTGATAAATTTTTCGATAATACACCGATATAATGCTAATTATTAATTGGTAAATATTTTTTTGACGAAAAAATAACTTACATTGGTCAATTTTTGCAATAATTTTAGCTTGCATTAATCTTTAATTCTGACAGAAATAATAATTGAAGTTGAATAGTTGATTCTTCAAATGTTCATGATTTAATGACTGATATTGCAGAAACATATGCGAATATATTCTAAGATACGTTTTCTGG